AGCTGGTTCTCATAGCTTCACATAACCAATATGAAATTCTAGTTATTTTAGACTTCCAGGTTTACTCCTTCACCTAATATTAATTTAATGTGGCTTTCAGCATATATATCACTGCTGGAAATTGCTCCATGGCTTATTTAAGCACTTTGTATAACCATTATACTTCATCATTTGGGATGCAATAAAGATTGGTTGATATATTCAGCAGCAGAATTACTCATTTGTGAGTTATTTGTTTTATAGAGCCTCAGCCAGTCAAACTGCAAATATATGAGGTTTAGAGATCAGAGCAAACCACAGTAATACATGCTTTTTGAAACTTATTGCACTTTTTGCTAAGTAATCATTTAGATAGTATCAAGTGTACTTTGACTGGGTTGCATTGGCTTTTGCCTACAAAAAAAAGACATCAGCAGCAAAATTATTCTACTGACAATAACTGTACATTGCAGCAGCATTCGTAACTGGAAATTCATTTTTTATTTACATCATGTTGGGGTGAGCTCAAAATTCAGTCAAGGCTTCAGTTGCTCCTTTTTGTTTAAAAACAAATTGGAAGGAAGTCCCTTCTGGTCTGTTCCCAGTTGCTGGGAATATCTTCCACTTGTATTGACAACACACCGGCTGGGTATACCACATTCTCTACATATGCACCCATCATTCTCTAAACTAACAACAAGCTCTAAATTCAGCCACACCTGAGACAGACATTCTTGATGCACTATTTTTTTTCTTTTGCTTGTGCCAAAGCCTTTCATGGTATATGCTGTCAATGTTATCACTCTTGAAGACTTGAGAGGCTGGGTTTCTGCCATTTCGTTCCAACTTTCCAGTCTACAGAGGCAGGGAAAAAAAAAGTGATCTCGACTCTTTCATTTGTTTTTGAACAGGCAACATTCCTTCTTTATGTGAAAGTATTTTTACATTAATTGCATGGAAGGACAATGGCAAACACCTGTTTGGGAAGATATGGAGAGCCCAATTTGAAATCCATGGGACACATCTACAGACTCAGTGGCCTTTGGATCTCGTGAGCGTTGCACAGTTGTGTTTCACTTAGGACGCCACCATTAGAATCTAAGTGACAAAACACTTTCAACAAGAACAGTTGTATGTCTTCATCCAAGTTACTCTGTCCTTTCTTCTCTAGTCCTTGACTTTTCTTTCAGTTACTTCTGGACTCCTTCCTTCTTTCCTCCAGGACTGAGGTTCTGGCTGTCCAAGGTACATGGAAGGAAAAGGTAGAAGACTCCCAGGTAGCAAAGGCTCCTCTTTCCACCCAGGCTGCTCACTTCCCTCACTGATCCATGACCTTTCCTTTGTGTTGCTTATGCATTCAGGCCACAGTGCTGTGGCACACTATCCAGTGGCAAAGCCACCTTACAGGTTTCTTTTCCTCCCATCTTTTCCCAGTCCCTTCTGGCTTTATGCTGCCTCCAAAAAGAAAAGTGCTGTCTCCTCAGTTTTGCTGAGGGCATGGGGCAACACTGAGAAATGGATCAGGGAAATTATATGGCTTTAAGGAACCACAGAGGAAAAAGATCCACCTCACAGCGTAGCCATGTAAGTAGCTGTTGCAGTACAGCTGAACAGCAGAACAGTACATGGGTACATGGGAAAGAACAAAAAAAAATTATGCTTCTCATTCTGATACCGTAAGAACCAAGGCTCTGGGAACAAGTGGTACAGAGCCATCACAAAACCACCAAAATCCTTCAAATGGAGAGAAGTTTCAACTGCTGTCTCTACTGGACCTGCAGTCAAAAGAGAGGACATCTTCCAGGTAGACACACTGGTATTTCACATTGCAAGCTTCCAAAAACCCCCATGGCACTCTCCAGGTTTGTTAGTAAAGCCCTGGACCTCCCACATGGCTAAGAATTTGAGGAAACACGTAATTACATCCAGGTTTTAGAATTACCTGCCATGTCATAAAAACTCTGTTGGTGATTTAACTGTGTGTTAGCATAGGAAACAGAAAGTAACAATGAAATATTTTGCTCTTTGTACATATGTATACACATGCATACACACATACTCCACCCACTCTAAACAAATTCCAACTAGGACAGTTGTGTACAAAGCAGAAAACTCATAACATCCAGAAAGAACAGCTCAAACCAGCTATTTTGCTTCAAGTCACCACCAGCAAAACCAAATCTGCTATTGGCATGTGACAACTTAATGGAGGTGAACATGAGAGTTTTCAAATATTCTAAGACTGTGAAAACAACCTAGAATTATTTAAAGTATTTTCAAGGAACACAAGTGAAGGAGAGGAAAAGAGCTATGTTTTTGCTAATGAATATCATAGGCTTCTCTGTACATCTGACTATTATCAAGGTGGCTGCTAGATGGATGACATGGATTTACTTCGGCCTTTGGTGCTGCAGCAGACAACAGATGGAGATACTACGTAAGATAAGTATCACTAACTAATCTAAGCACAAAGGGCGATTGACATTTTTCCAAGTACAAGCAGAAAGGAATTAAACTATTGCTGATTTGTCCAGGTTCAATGGGAGGCTACCAGTAAGACTAGATTGCAGTGGGTGGGCGGGAGGGATGGAAACAGGGAATGAGTGAAAACCT